AAAATAAAATAAAAATAAAAAAATAAAGTCTAAAAATGTCAACACAATGTCCACTGGTGTACTTGTATTTCAAATAATAGAATCCTCAAAAATATCCTTATAAGTGCTTAAATTAAAAAAAATGCATATATTAGCAAGAGAAATAAGGAAATAAAGTTTAGTTTTTAGTGGTTCATTTAATGGAAAGATGAAGGGTTCAGAAGATCATGAAATACTACTGTTAGCAAGAAAAACATGAATCTGTTTTTATAGTAATTATTTCTTGAAGTGGAAATTTCCTATCTTAGTGAATTATTCATTAGAAGGCATTTCTTTTTCTGATTGTCTTCAGGTTTGAAAATAAATGATTAGATGGTACATAATTGCTTCATTTTGTTAATATCACATTTCAGCCTAGTGACTTAATAATTTCTATTTTCTGATTACTGTCAAATAATATGTTATAGTTAATGAAGCAGCATTGAATTCCAGATACATCAGCATTACTGAATGTAAAACAATGATTACACATAGGAAATTGTACTCACAGATTTCCACGAAATTTTCTAGAAGGCTTGCTGGAAACAGTTATCTTTTTCTCAAAGGGGAATAAAAACCCACAAATAAATTAGATATCAGATACAGAANCTCCCCTCCACCATCTTACAAGGACAGTAACATTGAAATGACCAATCCACTTTCTGTTCTTTGTTTCTGTTTTCCTCAGTCTTTTCTGTCTATGAAACCACCTTCCTCTGCTTGGCTCACTGGAATATGTCTTCTGTTTTACGGAATGAAGTGTTGCCTGATGCTAGAATCACAGTAAAGCCAAATGTGATCTTTAAATTGGTTATGATTTTGTCCTTTGACAGAATAACATTTGGTCTCAATAACATATGATGATCTGATAGTATTAATGTAGTATCATGAGCAATAGATGAACTTTAAAAAAATAAAGTCTGGGCTGAGCCTGTGGCACACTCGGGAGGGTGCGGCGCTGGGAGCACGGCAGCGCTCCTGCCGTGGGTTCGGATCCTATATAGG